GCTTCTGGAGAAGTCTGAAGGTGTGACGCTGGGGTTCAGGTCCCATGTCCCTGCTGGGCCCTGAAACTCCTCCTTCTAGGCCTGAGGTCTGGAGGTCAGACAGGCAGGTCACTTCTCCCTCCCCATCTCCCAGGACGATGACCGATGTGAGGAGTGGGAACGCCATGAAGCACTGCATGAGGACGTGACCAGGCAGGAGCGGACTTCCGAGCGGCTCTTCGAGGAGGAGATTGAGCTCAAGTGGGAGAAGGGTGGCTCTGGCCTGGTGTTCTACACCGACGCTCAGTTCTGGCAGGAGGAGGAAGGAGGTAAGTCTTGTGGTTACTGTAACAAACACCGGTGATGAATTAACTTCTAAAGAGGAGAGTTGGCTCAGATTGGACGTCTCAGGGCATGGGCAGTTGGTTTTTGTGCCTGTGGCGAAGCTGTACAGTATGGTTGGAGTACATGTGCAGGACCCCTATTCACCTCATGGCTGGGATGCAAGGGAGAGAGAAGGAAGGAGAGACCGGGTCCTATGGTCTCTTTTAATGTCATGCATGAAGCTCTACCTCTTAAGGGTCCCATTACTTCCCGCTGTGCCTGGAACTGAGCCTTTAATACATGGGCTTTGTCCGGAAAAGCCTGTCAAACCAAGGTTGGGGCCTCTGTTCCACATAGTGGATTCCCTGACAGTCCAAATAAAGCTAGGAAATGACTTCCATCCTGTGTAAATGCAGACTATTCATCCTGTTTTGGAATGAGGAATTGGGATAGAACCTGGAATATTTGTCTAACAGTAGGCTTAGCTCGAAGCCCAACTGAGAGTCATTGGGGTGGACACAGAGCTCGATGGTAGAGCACCTTTAGCTTGTGCAAGGTCCTGGGTCTGGCCTTGCCCGAGAACCAAAGAACTCAAGAGTCCTTAACCCTTGCTTCTGTCCCTGTAGATTTTGATGAGCAGACAGCCGATGACTGGGACGTGGACATGAGTGTCTACTACGACAAAGGTACTGGACAGGGGGTGGCAGTCCTGGGAGGAACTTGTGCCCTAGACCTGTATGTTAGCCACACATACTTGGCAGAGGTTAAGTCAGGGAACTAGGGGCAGCCCACTGTACACTCGCTCTCAGTGTGCTCAAGAATGGTTCTAGAACCCCTGTGCATACCAAAATCTGCAGGTACTGTTACAAAATGGTGTAATTGTTTAGACCTATACTTATCCTCATGCATACTTTAAATAATCTCTCTCAAAAAAAGTTAGCAAGTGCTGGGGTTACATTTCAGTGGTACTTTGCTAGACTATATGAGGCCCTGGGTTCAATTCCAACATCAGGAAAAAAAAATTCTCACCAGCTATGGTGGTGTATATTTTGGAATTCCTGCGCTATGGAAGTGAGTGAGACATGACGATTACTTAAGTTTGAGGTCATCACAGGCTACAGAGTGAGAGCTTATCTCAAAACCAACCAATAAGTTTTCCATAGATGTTTTACAGAAACTAATGCAATGTAAACACTATGCAAATAGTGTTACTTAGGGAATAATGATGGGGTGGGGAGTCTATGTGTTGGTACAGATGCAGTTATTTTCTGAGTAGTTTCAGAGTGGTTGGATCTGCAGGTGCAAACCCTGTAGAAACAGGCTGACTGTACTCACCATCTTTGCCAGAGAGAACTCACCACCTGCAGTTGAGTGCTGCCGATGGGCAGGCCCTAGGAACCCCCCCCCCCCCCCCCGGGGGGGGGGGTCTGAGTGAACAGTGAATAGAAGCTTAGCCTTTGATCAACTCATGGTTCTGAAGAGAAAAATGACCTGAATTTTTATTTTGTTTCTGTGAGTGGTGTTTGTTTTGAGACAGAGTCAGTATATCCCTGGCTATCCTGAAACTCAATACATAAACTGATCTGGCTGCCTTTTTTTTTTTTTTTTTTTTTTAAGATTTATTATGTATGCAACATTCTGCTTCCATGTATATCTGCATACCAGAAGAGGGCACCAGATCTCATGATGGATGATTGTGAGCTACCATGTGGTTGCTGGGAATTGAACTCAGGACCTCTGGAAGAGCAGTCGGTGCTCTGAACCTCTGAGCCTTCTCTCCAGCCCCTGGCTGCTCTTTTTTGATAAAGTTTTTTTTTTTCTTTTTTTTCTTTTTCCCAGACAGGGTTTCTCTGTGGCTTTGGAGGCTGTCCTGGAAGTAGCTCTTGTAGACCAGGCTGGCCTCTGCCCCCTGAGTGCTGGCACTAAAGGCATGCACCACCAATGCCCGGCTTGATATATTTAAAATTTATTTTGGTGTTTTGAGATATGATCTCACTATGAAGCTCTGTAGAGCTACACTATGTACACCAGGCTGGCCTTGAACCCACAGAGATCCACATGCCTCTGCCTCCTAAATGCTGGGATTAAAGGCATGCACTACCACACTCAGTAAGATTTACTGTTTTTATTATGTGTGTTTTGCCTGCATGTAAGTATAACATGTGCTTGGTACCCATGGAGTACAGAAGAGGGCATCAGATTGCCTAATTGGAGTTACAGTTGTAAGCTGCCATATACGTGCTGAGAAATGAACCCGGGTCAGAATCAGTACACACTCTTAACTTCTGAGCATCTCTCTAGCTCCCAATAACTTACTTCTGTAATGATTAAAGTCTCTTTATTCACGAAGACACCAAGGCAAAACACAGGCCAGAGCTAGGTTATAGAACCCAGCAAGCGCGGCCAGAACAAAAGGGGGCTCGGGTCCCCACGTGCAGCCCCTTAAGAAGCTCCCTTACGTCACCCCGGCTTTCCTTCACCACGCCCTTATGGGCGAGTCCCGGGTCCACCTGGTACCTGTCCCAGGACTCAGGGATGAGTGTTTACCTGGCCTTGGGTTCAAACCTTATCAGCACAAGAAAGTTGGGCGGGGCTAGGGTGTCTCCCTACAATTCCTCTTTTAGTCTAAAAGAGGATTAAAACTTAATAATGTAAAATATCCAAAACTAACATACTTCTGATTTCATCTGTCTGTTCTGTGACTTCTCTGCACTGCCCCTCATCCATAAGATGAGAACTGTGGTTTCTATTCCTGTGTGTTCCCAGTCTTTATGAGAGAGATTACAGGACATTATGAAAATGATCAGTCAGTCTTGTGAGGGGACCCCCAGATAGCAGATGCTCCTGGTGAGAGCACCATTTTACAAATGGGTTATGGTTCCCCAGATGGTGGAGACAAAGATGCCCGTGACTCTGTCCAGATGCGCTTGGAGCAGAGACTCCGTGATGGCCAGGAAGATGGCTCTGTGACAGGACGCCAAGTGGGCACTTTTGAGCGCCACACCAAGGTGAGTGAGCACTGCCCAGCCCACTGACATTTTTCCTTTTCCTGCGTTTCTTCTCCAAGAATCCTTCTCTTTCCTTCCCTTCCCTCCATTCCTCCCCCTCTCCCTTCCTTCCTTTGAAGCAGGGTCTTCATAAGTAGCCCAGCCTGACCTTGAACTCACATCCTGCCTCTGCCTCCCAAGCAATGGGACATGCACAGGGTCAAACTTAAGCCACTTTTCTTAATTCTCTCTGCTTCCTTTTGCAGGGCATTGGTCGGAAGGTGATGGAGCGCCAGGGCTGGGCTGAAGGCCAGGGCCTGGGTAGTAGGTGCTCCGGGGTGCCTGAAGCCCTGGATGGTGATGGCCAGCACCCCAGATGCAAGCGTGGATTGGGGTAAGTGGGCCCCTAAAGGACTCCTTAGGGTCGTAATCCAGCCTTGATGCTATTTGGTTTCTCTCTTCCCGTTGCTTTTGGGATGCATGCTGGGTACCCCTAGGAGATGACTGTCATGGCAGAAGTAGAAGAAATAGAGTCTGTTCTTTATGTTCATGTTCTACCAAATCTTACAACTTAAAAGGATCATAGATCCCCCAGGAAGTCATTTCATTGAGTCTGTGTTTGGGCTTGATAAGGGAGTTCATTGTGTGAAAAATTCTAAGGTTCCCTGTAGTTAGCAAAGACTGTGTCCAGAAGTTGGAGAGAATTCCAGATACATGCTTTGTCTTTGGTGCTGGGGGTGTGGCTCAGGGATGAGTGTTTACCTGGCCTTGGGTTCAAACCCTATCAGCACAAGAAAGTTGTGTATTACAGGACAAGCCAGGTATGTACTAGCTACTGGAGTGCCCTCTTGTCCTCTTTTATTCAGGTACCATGGAGAGAAACTACAGCCATTTGGGCAGCTGAAGAGGCCCCGTGGCACTGGCTTGGGGCTCATTTCCACAGTCTACGATGAGCCTCTGCCCCAGGACAAAATGGAGTCCTTGCTCCGACGCCAGCCACCCACCAGCATCAAGTTTCGGACAGATACGACTTTTGTGAGGGGTTCCAGCTGTGCCTCGGAGAGACCCTCGGAGCCCGAGTGAGGCTCTGTCCTTGGTCAGGGTCACTCAGCTGCAGGAAAACAGCCTGGGTCTTGCCTTGTGGACCTCTGAAGCAGCCAAGAGCCTAGGCGTCTGCACAGCAGGCTCCTGTGCTGGGCCTGAGCATGCCCGTCTCTTCTCTACCTCAAAGGTGGTTTCAGAAGCAGCCGCCCCCTGCCCTGGGGTGGTCTCGAACTCGAGGCCTTGTTTGGGCTCGCCCCAGAACCTTGAAGATCTGGACTGCCTGCGGCGCCTTCTCGCCGGTTTGGGGGTCTGAAGGAGGACGTCATGAGGAAGAGAGGGGAGGGGACCTGAAAGAACTGGTCCCCAGGGGCCGGGCGGGGCCTGGCACCTCTACCCTCTGCGGGGGGCGCGTCTGCGCGGCAATAAACGAGTTTGGACCTGGACCCGGCCTGCAAGTCTGCCTTGGAGGAGCCGGGAAGCCTGAGCCTGACCCCGCGGCGGGAGGCGTGGGCTGCGGAACCACGGCTCCGTTGCCCGCCTACGCCGGTAGCGTGTGGGCGGGACTTCCTCCTAGACGATTTCCGGCGGAGTCCGGAAGTCGGGGCTCTTGGCTTCCCTGCCGGTTGGTGTGCAGGTTTTCTGCGCGGGCCTCCTTGCTTTAGTTCGGAAGGCGCCTGCGGGCCGCCCGGCTCCACCCATGGCGGGGGCCGCACCGGCCACGGCCTGGGGCCAGGCGGTGATCGGGCCCCCGGGCTCGGGGAAGACCACGTACTGCCTGGGCATGAGCGAGTTCCTGCGCGCGCTCGGCCGGCGCGTGGCGGTGGTGAACCTGGACCCGGCCAACGAAGGGCTGCCGTACGAGTGCGCCGTGGACGTGGGCGAGCTGGTGGCGCTGGGCGACGTGATGGACGCGCTGCGCCTGGGCCCCAACGGCGGCCTGCTGTACTGCATGGAGTACCTGGAGGCCAACCTGGACTGGCTGCGCGCCAAGCTCGAGCCCCTCCGCGGCCACTACTTCATCTTCGACTGCCCCGGGCAGGTGGAGCTCTGCACGCACCACGCCGCCCTCCGCAGCATCTTCTCCCAGATGGCACAGTGGGACCTCAGGGTGCGTCTCCGGGCGGGCAGGCCCTTGGTGCAGATGGCATCCCTGAGACAGAGAAGGGACAGATGCCACCACGCCCCCAAGCCACACTGCAAGATAGGGGTTGAGTGGAGTTTGGAGCAGAACCAAAGTCTCTTTCTTGAGTTAGAGTTTTAGCTCTGCCACCAATCTCTGCGTGATCTGGGAAAGTTGTCACTTAACTCAGTTTTGTCATCTCTAAAGTGAACCTGTTAGTTGGGGATTTAAAAAAAAAAAAAAAACACAGTGGAAGCGATTACATAGAAAGTGGCTCGGCAATTGTTTAGTTGGTGTGCAAAAGTGTAATGAAAGAGTGGAGAAGCCGGGCATCGGTGGCGCATGTCTTTAATCCCAGCACTTGGGAGGCAGAGGCAGGCTGATCTCTGTGAGTTCGAGACCAGCCTGGTCTACAAGAGCTAGCGCCAGGACAGTCTTCAAAGCCACAGACAAACCCTGTCTTGAAAAACCAAAAAAAAAAAAAAAAAAAGGCTAGTTCCAGGATAGGCTCCAAAGCTACACAGAGCTTTGTCTCGAAAAAAACAACAACCAAAAAAGAGTGGAGAGGCAGATGAGTGTGTAATTTGAACCTATTTCCCACTACAGGGCACTTTGCAAGATACTTTGTAAGAGGGATTGGAGATTTAGCTCAATGGTAGAGATCTTGCCTAACAGAGGCCACAGGGCCTAGATTTGGCCCTGAGCATAGTAGGTAAGAAAAAAAGGTACTAAGTAAGAAAAAAATGTCCCGTGTTTTCTGGGAGGAAGACATGATTCTGGCTATTAGACTTAAATACAAGAGCCAGAGAATTAAATACAAAAGCACTTGGCATGTGGGGGCAGAAAGATGTTTAGTTTCAGGCCATAAAACCCTGTTGTAAGCACATGCACGTACAAGGGCTGGAAGCAGAACACAGTTGAGGAAGGCTGGAACTGCTGCTGGTCTCACAATGGAGGCCCCAGGTCCCTCCCACTGCGGCTGGTCTTCCCCGCTCATCCTGTGTCTTCCACTCACAGCTGACAGCTGTCCACCTTGTGGACTCTCACTACTGCACAGACCCAGCCAAGTTCATCTCAGTTCTCTGCACCTCCCTGGCCACCATGCTGCATGTGGAACTGCCCCATGTCAACCTCCTCTCCAAGATGGACCTTATTGAGCACTATGGGAAGCTGGGTAAGAGCCCCTGTTTGGAGCATGAGGGAAGCTGCCTCACTACACTCCTGACTTCTGACCATTTATTTTGTGCACCACTGTGCCAGAATCTACCGTAGATTTAGAGATTACAGATGGGTGCAACAAGGTGGCAGGACAATGGCTGGCTGAGGAAGTGGAAAACTGCTCACTGCTCTGAGGCTGTGGTGCCCTGACACTTGGGTGGTGAGAAGTAGCCCACTGAAGGACGATTCCAGCCAGTCTAGTAAGGGCAAAAGTGTTGCAGTAGTTTGAACTGCTATAGTGAAACTATCACCCACCAGACGTCTCGAACAGCAGACATTCCTCTATATTTGAGAGGGTGGAAAGCCTTTAATGGGGGCATGTGTAGGCCCAGGTTCTGGCTGTGGACTGCCTACTTATACCTGCATCCTCACATGGCAGGCAGCATGGAAATGGGTAGGAGTTGGGTAGTGTCTCAATGGCCAGCTTTTTTTTTTTTTTTTTTTTTGGTTTTTCAAGACAGGGTTTCTCTGGGTATCTTTGGAGCCTGTCCTGGCACTCACTCTGGAGACCAGGCTGGCCTCGAACTCACAGAGATCTGCCTGCCTCTGCCTCACGAGTGCTAGGATTAAAGGCGTGCGCCACCAGCGCCCGGCCTCAAATTATTTTTCTGCTGTGCTAATGGCATCGGCTCCTTAAAATCTGAAGCCATAAAGGACCCTAGAGAGAAAGCTGAAATGCCTAGTATATGAGCAGGGAAGGAGGCTGGGAGACGACATGGAAGTGACCTTGCCTAGTCGGGACATGGAGGGATGTCAGACCAGAGTCCACTCATCTTTGGGGGTGTCTTTCCAAGGAGCCCAAGTTTTTTTTTTTTTTTTTTTTTTTTTTTTTTTTGGGGGGAAGCTATTCATAGACCCAAACCTGATGTTTGAGCATCTATTTTGGTCTCTTCATCTTACATGAGGGAACTGTCCCAGGAAGGAAATGTAGGTGGTTTCCCTGAGAGGCCTTGCTGCTGGACTAAACATCGATTCAGTTAGACCATCATTTACAAAGTCCCTCCAGTGTATATTTGCGAAGACCCTGGGGTCTCACTAAGCTTCATGAGACAGGGGCTAAGCATAGTTCTCAGTGCTTGTGCTCTAGTGTGTACGATCATTGATGCTTCTGTATACAAGGCAGAGGCTGGGTTTATAAGCTTTAGTTCTTACAACAGTCCCCACTAACCCTGTCCATATGACAGCCTAATAAATTTTAGATGAAATCAAGCATTTTAGCCAGGTATGATAGTGTGTGTCTGTAATCCCAGCACTTGGGAGCTGAAGACAGGAGGATCAGGTGTTCAAGGCCAGCCTGGGCTAAATGAGACCTGCTCTAGAAAGGGAAAGAAGGAATCGGGTGCTTTTTTTTTTTTTTTTTTTCATGATACTGGGATAGACCCTGAAGCTTCACACCTGCTAGGTACACATTCTAGCCTTCAGAAACCACACCAGCCCTCTTTTTTCTCTTTAAGATTTATTTTAGACCAGGCCATGGTGGCACACACCTTTGATCCCAGCACTCAGAAGGCAGAAGCAGGTGAATCTCTGTGAGATAGAGGCTAGCCTATTCTACATAGTTCCAGAACAGCCAGAGCAACATAGTGAGACCCAGACTGAAAAATCTGTGTGTGTGTTGTGTGATCGCATACCTTATATATGTACCAAGGAAGCCGGAAAAGGTCATTTGGTCCTCAGTATATGAAAATGCAGACAGTTGTGAGCTTCCCATGTGGACACTGGAAACTGAACTCAGGTCCTTTAGAAGAGTAGCAAGCACTCTTAACCTCTCAAGCCCCTCCCTTTAAATTAAATTTCTTCATTTATGGGGGGCACATGTTTGTGTGGAGGTCAGGGTAACTTTTGTGAATTGATTGTTTCCTTGTGTGAATCGATTATGTCCTTCTGCTGTGTGGCTCCCAGGAATAACTTGGGTTGTTAGGATTGGCTCCAAATGTCTATATCCACTGAGCAATCTCATAGGCCTTCTTTCATTTTGATTAGGGTCTCATGAAATTGCCCAACTGACCTTAAATTCACTCTGTAGTCTAGGCTAGCCTTGAACTACCAACCCTTCTGCCTAAGCTGCCCTTATATCTGGGATTACCAGCCTGTGCCCCCAGACCAAGAGAATATTTCTCTTCTTAGTAACATCACTTCACTGCACCAGCAGATATCTTAGTGAATGTAAATAATGGAAGCCAGAGTGACACTCATGCCTGTAATCTCAGCACACCGGAGTCTGAGGCAGGAGAACCTGCTATGAACACTGCCTGGGCAGCTACATAGTGAGTAACAGGCCAGCAAGAGTTGAGGTGTGAGACCCTGTCTAAGGAAAAACAATGACAGACAAACAAGGTGAAGCCCAGGCTTTGGGTCTTTCTTGTCTCATAGTGCTAGGGACAGAATCCAGTACCTCATTTATGCCAGGCAAGTGCTCCATGCTGAACTCTTCCTCAAGTTCGGGTATAGTTTTGTTTTTCCCAGAGCTAAAGACCAAACCCAGGGCCTTGTGTTTGTTAGGTGAGTGCTCTACCGCTGAACTAAATCCCCACCCCTGGTTATGGTTTTTATTTATTTATTTACTTCACTTTTGAAGGGTTTTAGAGACAGGGTTTCCCTGCCACTTTGGAGGCTATTGTGGAACTGGCTCTTGTAGACCAGGCTGGTCTCGAACTCACAGAGACCAGCCTGCCTTTGCCTCCTGAGTGCTGGAATCAAAGGTGTGTACCACCAACGCCGGGCTCTGGTTATGGTTTCTAATCCCCCACTGGGTGCTAGGAATAAAGCCCAGGCCCTTAAGGATGGTAAACATGTTGCTGGGCTATGGCTTAGCCCCTCCAGGCTCCGTCTTTAGCCTAATGTCAGTGGCTTCTAACTCCAGTTTCTCTCCTTAGCCTTTAACCTGGACTATTACACAGAAGTCCTGGACCTCTCCTACCTGCTTGAGCACCTGGCGTCTGACCCTTTCTTCAGTCACTACCGTCAGCTCAATGAGAAACTAGTACAACTCATCGAAGACTACAGCCTAGTCTCTTTTATCCCTCTGAACATCCAGGTATTGGATAGGAAGAGATTGCTTTCGTGTGGCTATAGCTCTGAAATACCAAGGACATGGAAAGATACGACGGCTCCACTGATGGTCTGTGCTCTGGGCCTGCCCTTGGCTTGCTTCAGGACCAGGAGCAGTGGGAGCATGATCTCAGTAAAAAGCATAGACCAGACTTTAGTCCTGTGAGTCTGAATCACCAGGTCCTCTATGCTCCCTCCTCAGTGTGAATGAACATGAGTGAGTTCAGAGTCACAGCAAGAAGTTAACCCAGGACCCAGGAGACAGGCTTTTGGGTCTGTTTTGCTGTGTGACTATGTTGAGTTTGCAAAGCAGCCCCTAACCTCTTGCTTGCGGCAGAGATAACCCAGGAGACATTGTGGTCCTAGAGTCTTTTCTGCAGTGGGGACTTGAGTGAAGTTGGCTTTCCCTCTAATAGCACACTTGCCTCCATTATGAGAGGGAGAGAGTGTTGTGCCAGCCACCACTTGTGAAGGCTTTCCCTGCTAGCACTGTGCTGAGAGCTGAGCACTCATTAGTTTGGTCTCTATACTTCATTGAGATATATGGACTGTTCTCACTGTTGTATATGGGTGAGGAAACCCTTATGAGCCAAAACATACATATTTGTTGGGTGCCTCCCTGGCACTGAAGATACCTTGCTCTTCACTGACTTTTGACCCTAAAAGCTGCTTGGCCTAGTAAGAGCAGTGAGACGGCTATTCTAGGATAGTAGGAATGCTGCCGTAGGAGAAAACCCTAGGCTGTGACTGCATGAAGGAGCAGCGCTCTTCTAATCTGGGAGGTGGTCTGGCTGGCCAGCCCCCCCCAATGGATTCCTCTGGGGCAAGGAGTTGGGAATGTGGAATTGTCATGGGAGGAGTTAGAGAAGAGCAGGCAGTTGTGGGCTCTGCTCTCCACACTTGATCCCCTCACTGAGCTATTCTCCTCTCTGCTCAGGACAAGGACAGTATCCAGCGAGTCCTACAGGCTGTGGATAAAGCCAACGGCTACTGTTTTGGGATTCAAGAGCAGCGAAGCCTGGAGGCCATGATGTCTGCTGCGATGGGAGCTGACTTCCATTTCTCCTCGTATCCTTGGGGAGCATGGGAAGGGCACTGGGAAAAGTGTCGGGGTTCAGTTTGCCTGGTGTAGTATGAGAAAAGGGAAAGGAGGTGCCAGAGTCTGGGGAAGGAGATGTGGCTGGGGTAGCCCAGGATAGGATGCTTGCCTGCTGCCATGAGTGCTAACACCAAAGTGGTGGGAAGTATGTGTAGATGTCAGCTCGGAGGTAAGGACTGATTTATTTTAGTGTTTTAAGACGGTTTCTCTGCCCATAGCTGGCCTATAACCCCGTGTAGTGCAGGCTAGTCTTACACTCTTGATCTGCCTCCAGTTTTCTGAGAGCTGATGCACCTTTTAGAAGAGCCCCTGTAGGTGTGGAGAATGCATTTCCTGTGTGTAATTAGGGGCTGTAGAGTTTTTTGTTTGTTTGTTTGTTTTGGGTTTAGCCGAAGAGTTCTTAAAGTCTTGCTAAATGAAGCATGTGGTGATGTGGAAAAGGAGCCCTGCGTGACGGTCCAGGCCTGTAAACCAGTGCTTGGGAAACTGAGGCAGGAAGGTCATCACAAGTTTTAAGTCCAGCCTGGGCTACAAAGTCAGACCCTGTCTCAAAAAACAAATGGGGCTGGGCAGTGGTGGCACACGCCTCCAATCCCAGCATTTAGGAGGCAGAGGCAGCCACGTCTCTGTGAGGCCAGCCTGGTCTACAGAGTTCCAGGATAGCCAGAGCTGTTAGACAGAGAAACCCTGTCTTGAAAAACCAAATAATATTAACAACAAAAGAGACGGTTAGAGAAAGGTTTGTGGGCTGGAAAATACAAAGGAGGTTGATTAGAACAGCTAGTTACAGAGAGGTCCTGGGCGGAGAAGACAGGCAAGTGTTTAGAAGGGATGTTCTGGGTCTGAGGGCACCACTGAACAGCCAGAACTGTGCAAATGGCAGCTAGGCCTTTGGTGTTTGGTTTTGACCCGTTTGTGTGTTCCTTAGGTCAGAAGCTGTGCAAGAGGCAGGAAGGGAAAGGCCTGGTCCTTTAGGTCAGTAGTCCCAAAGATGGAGCGTTTGCCCAGGGTGCTGGAGACGGGAATTCCAGTCCCGAGGATGGAGGCAGATGGAGGTGCCAGGCCCTGGAGAGCAGGTGGCTACAATGGTGTCATGCGGTCCCCATGGGATGAGAAGACCAAGGAGATGGCTCATGTGTAGCCAGTGTTAGCAATGTCTGGTCTTTTCCTTTTGTGAATTGACCTCTGTCCTGTCCCAGAGGGAGGGAGGAGAGCCTTGTGGCCCAAGCAGAGTCGGAGTTCTTTGCCTTGGTAAGAAAAGGGAAGTTACAATAGTTACTACAGCAGTTGTGTGCCAGGTGTAGAGGACTCCCCATTTTATGGTCATAGCTCTCATGTGACTTCAGAAAGGAAAAAGGAAGTGGCAGGATTGGAACACCCTGGCCTGTCTCTAGAGCATATGCCACACAAAGCTGGAGGGCTAGCGCTCCTTGGTCCTTTGGTCTAGGCAGTGTGAAGAAGAAACAGGAACCCCAGGGAAGGAGCTCTTGAAGGTGGCTCACATCCAGCTGTGGGAACTAGGACAGACACAGATGTATGGATGGCGGTTCTCAGTAGAGGTCAGATCCTGCCTGGGCCAGGCCCCCATCCCCTGCCTGTGATCTCAGCCTTGACACACCTTCCCTCCTGCAGCACTCTGGGCATCCAAGAGAAGTACTTAGCATCCTCGGACCAGACAGCAGAGCAGGAAGCCATGCAACTGTAACAGCTGGGGCTGGGTGATGGGCAGCTGGGTACGGATCCAGAAGCTGTGTCCAGCCAGAGCAGAGGCTGGGAGGAAGCATCCATCCCCGATGAGGACTTTTGGATAAAAAGCCAGGCATATCACCCTCAGTGGTATCTTCAAACTCAGAGCCCTGCTCCCACGAGATGCTACCTAAGTTGAGGACTGGCTCTACTTGGGCTGCTGCGGTGGGATGTGCTATGATATGAAATTATTTTCTACTTTTTGTGGGCTTCAAACTTGTCTTCAACCCTTGGGAACCAAGGGTTTGGAGCAGAACAAAGGAATGTCTCTGTCCCTGCAAATAGTCCTATTTCTGTCTTGGTTTTGTTTTTAATTACATTTATCTCGTGTTTGCACGAGTGTGTGAGTGGGCAGGCATGCAGATGGAGATGGTTCTCTCCTGAATTCTGGGGTTGAACTCAGGTCATGGGACTTAGTGACAGGCTCCTTTACCTGCTGAGCCATCTCAGCAACCCCATGCGTTTCTTCGTTCAGGTTTCACCAGCCTCAGCTCAGGTGTGTACACAACTCCCCTCCTGTGATTTTTTCGTTCTTCAGTGCTAACAGCTTTAAGCTCAGGCATCTGCAGGTGACTCTTCCTAGCCATACCTTATTTAATGTTTTCTTGATTTTTATCCTATGATTTATGTGGTTTTATTCTGTTTTTGCCCTGATGTTAGTCAAAGTTTGAAAGATTAGCCAGGCAGTGGTGGGACATGAATTTAATCCCAGCATGTGGGAGGCAGAAGAAGGTGGATCTCTTGAGTTCAAGGCCAGACTGGTCTACAGAGCAAGTTCCAGGACAGCCAGGGCTATGCAGAGAAAAACCCTGTCTTGAAAAACCAAAAAAATAAAAATGAAAAAAGAAAGAAAGAAAGATTAACATAAGGTGTGCTGGAGACTAGGTTAGTGGTAGCTAGCATGCACAGGGTACCAGGGTCAATCCCCAGCACTGCCAAAAGATAAAGATTACTTCAAAAATGGAGTTATTTTACTTTTGTGTGGGGGTATGCCTCTAATCCCAACACTTGAGATGTGGGGGCAGCAGGATCAGTAGTTGAAGGCCAGCCTGGGCTATACGAAGCCCTATGTCTAAAGATTTGTGCAAAGTGATTTGTTTAAGGCAAATATTTCATGTATACTAGGACAGTTGTCTGGAGACACCGGTGCAACTGGTGCGGGGGCTGCAGTTGGCATTTCCAGCCAATAGGTGGCACAGTAGACTTAGTTTTGTCCTTAGCATCAGGAAGAGCCTGATGGCCAAGGAACAGGGGATAGCTACACACATGCCGGGCTTGGCATTTTACAAAGAGCGGGCACACATGGGGTCCTCACGTGGCTCTAACCCAGAGAGAGACAAGGTAGAAATGTCACTAGCCTGGCTCCCTCTTAGCTTACTTAGCTGACTCTGGGGTGTCTCCTCGTGGGGATATGTACAGATGAAAGGGTACAGCCATCATTGAGTGGCGTCCATAGTTAAGCAAAGGGGAAAGTTGGGACATCTGTGCATGTCTTATGAGCACCGACTGAATTGGTGGGTTTCCCTTCAGGCAATGGGAGAATGCCATTTAGCAGAGTGGTTGAGAGGTGGCATGGAGACAGGCGGGTCATCTTTGCTTCCCAGTGTGGGCAGCCATAGCAGGGAGCAGAAGAGGGGCAGCCGGCCTCAGCTCCCACGCCTGACTGTGGAGGGCTAATGACCGGGTACTGTCTCCCCAGCCTCTTTCATCTGAAGAGTTCAAAGTGCCTCGCCCCTATTAATGCCCTGCACAGTAGGTGGGGAGTACCAACAGAGCAGTCCAGGGAAACTGAGGCCAGGAGGCACAGCCTGGGGTTTGCTGTGAGTCACCCGTGGGGCCTGGAGCCCAGGAACCCTGACGCCCAGGCTGCTGGGCAGGTGCTACCTGTGCTTTTGAAAAGCACCAGTAGCTGTGCTCGTGGGTTTTGATGCTTGCCCGTCACAGGCCCTAAATCACCAGAACAAACCACATGCAGGGGCTGAAGGCATTGTCTCAGCTTTACAGCTCACTGGTGCACCTCAGCATGCGTACACTGCACTCCTAGAGTCGGGGTGGGGAGCCAGCTACAACTTATTTTGAGACTTTGCTGTGACAGCAAGCATGTTTTCTCCATAAATCGAGTTCCATGTGCGCATCTGTATAGTCCCAGTAGATGGAGGATCAGATGGTCAGCTTTTGCTACTTAGCAAGTTCAAGGCTAGCCTGGGTTTTTCTGTGTAGTCCTGGTTGTCCTGGAACTCCCTCTGTAGACGAGGCAGGCCTCAAACTCAGAGATCCACCTGCCACTGCCTGGCTACAAAAGGAGTTTCTGGTCTGTGTACTTACACTGAGGTGATAAGACAAACATGACTACAGAAAGGGAGGTATGGAGGCTTGCCCGTAATCCCACAGGATCTGAGTTCCAAGCCAGCCAGGGCCACATAGGAGATCCTGTCTCATGATAGACAAAAAACTAGAAAGGGAGAGATGTCTCAGTGTCTGGTCTTTTGGTGTGAAGTGTGCCAATAAGGGAATGCCCACCTTCCAGTATGGTTGCCACATATAACCAACCTTCAGATTCTGTTTTACTTTCCTAGTAAAAATAGGGAAATTAGGGCTGGGTATGGTGGCTCACACCTTTGATCCCAGCGCTTGGGAGGCAGAGGCAGAGGCAGGTGGATCTTTGGGTTCCAGGACAGCCAAGTCTATATGATGAGACCCTGTCTACAAACAAACAAGCAAAAAATCTGGGCAGTGGTGGTGTACACAGAGGCAGGTGCATCTCTTGAGTTTGAGGACAGCCTAGCCTGGTCTGCAGAGAGAGTTCCAAGATAGTCAGAGACCTGTCAGAAGGTACTGGATACTCTTCCAGAGGACCTGGATTCAATTCCTAGCTTTCATATGGCCACTCACAACTGTTACACGATAAATAAAAGACGCAGAGACTGATACTGGGTTCAAGCTGAAGATCAGAAAAGCACAGCAGCTGGTCACTAGCTCTTATTCTACCTCAGAATGAAAGGCAATCCTGGTTCCACCAAACCGCAGACTGAAGCCTCTCCTAGGCTAGAGAATCCTAAGACTTCACTGTTTTCCTATCCTCAAGGTGGCTAGAGAGTGAATCCTTGATACTGACTACTAAAGACCCTGCTCCTATCTTTTATACCCTTCTAGTGCTGGGATAAAAGGCATGTGATCCCAGGTGCTGAGATCATCTTTGTGTGAGCTGTTTCTCTTTAGGACTGGATCACTCTTGTGTGGATCTGGGTGGCCTTGGATTCACAGAGATGTGTCTACCTCTTAATACTGAGTCCTAGGATTACGAGTGTATACCACCATCTCCTAGTTTCTGGCTGCTGAGATTAAAGGTGTGTGTCACCAGGCCGGGCGTTGGTGGCGCATGCCTTTACTCCCAGCACTTGGGAGGCAGAGGCAGGCGGATCTCTGTGAGTTCGAGGCCAGCCTGGTCTCCAGAGGGAGTGCCAGGATAGGCTCCAAAGCTACACAGAGAAACCCTGTCTCAGGGGGGGGGGGGGGAAGGTGTGCGTCACCACTGCCTGACCTCTATAGCTTGAGGCTGACTTTGCTTTCTGAATCTCAAGCTTTAATAAACCATAAATAATATGTTACCACATACAACCCTCAGTAAAATTTAGTTTCAGGGGATCTGATGCCCTTTTCTGGCCCTAGGCACCAGGTCCACACATGTTGTAGACAGACAGACAGACAAAACATTTCAAACACGTAAAATATAATTTTTTTATTTTTGTTTTTTCAGACAGGGTTTCTCTGTGTTACAGCTCTGGCTGTCCTAGAACTCACTCTGTAGACCAGGCTGGCCTCAAACTGACGAGAGATCCACTTGCCTCTGCCTCCCGAGTGCTGGGATTAAATGTGTGTGCCACCACCACCCACCAAAATACAAGTTTTTAAAAAATGGAAAAAACAAGCTGGGGGTGGGGCAGTAAAAACAGTGGAGATGGGCTCAGTGGGTAAAGATACCTGATGACCTTGAGTTCGAGCTCTAGGACCTACAGATAGGAGAAAATTGATTCTTGTAGGTTGACTGACTCAGGCACATCGTCATCTGACCCCATATGCACACACACACACACACACACACACACACACACACACACACACACACACTTGCCTATACACATACACACAAAATTAGTATAATTTACAAAAAGATTTTAAAGCCAGGTGCGATAGAGCACATGTCTAAACCCAGTTCCCTTCCTTTCCCATGCAAGCCATGACACATTTACACACATAAACACAAATTAGTTTAAGGACTCAGAGTCCTGTCCTGCTGCCTTCATTAGGAAAGTGCTCACCCACAGCCTTTCCCCTGGGTTCATGCAAAGGAGAAAGGGATGGCCTGGGAAGATTTTCCATCCTTTCTCAAGAGGGGCAAGGAGTGGCTTCAGCCCACCCCAGCACCAAGGCCCCAGTTTGACCTCTCTTTCCCCTCTTTTACACCTGGCTATCAAGCCCTGACCCGCCCCATCTGGGGTGTCCACCCCAGGCTCCTGCCCTGCTTAGGCCAGAGTAATGCCTGGCTCTTTCTCATCACCCCTAACAGGGTTTGTGCACTGTGTCTTGTTTTCAGTCCTCCTATTCCTTCTCTTCCAGCCAGGGAGCCGACTACAACTCCAGAAGCCGAGGCTATTAAGAAAGGGGTTAAAGCCAGGTGGTGGTGATACAAGTCTTTAATCCCAGCACTCCTGAGGCAAAGCAGGTGGATCTCTGAGTTTGAGGCCAGTCTGGTCTACAAAGCAAGTTCTAGGACTCTAGGACAACCAGAGCTGTTACACAGAGAAACCCAGTCTCAAAAAAAAAAAAAAAAAAAAGCAACACAACAACAAAAAGCGAATGGGGGGGGTAGTGGGTGATGCCTGTAATTTCAGCACTTGGGAAGTAGAGGCTGGAGGATCAGAAATTCAAGGTCAGCTTCAGCTACATTCAAGTTCAAGGACAGCCTGGATTATAGGAGACAGTGCCTCAAAATAATTGATGGCTGTAGAGACGGCTCAACACTTTAGAGCACATACTGGGAGTCTTGACAGGTGGTTCAGTTAAGAGCAGTGACTGCTCTTCCAGAGGACCCAGGTTCAATTCCCAGCACCTACATAGCAGCTTGCAAACATCTGTAACTCCAGTTCCAGGGGATATGGTACCCTCATGCAGACATACATGTAGGCAAAATACCAATGCACATAAAATAAAAATAAATTATTAAAAACAAATAAGCAAAAACCACATACTAGAAGATCAGTTTCCACCTGGCAACCATCTCTTAGCTCCA